TGGGAAATGTGAGATTTGTTCAGTCCAGACCCAATTCAAGCTATTGTTGACCTATATGTATTTCATTATTGATAGATTTTTTTGTTTTAATAGTTTGTATTAGTGTAAATAAATTGGAATCACACAGAATGAAAAGAGAAAGAAGCACAATAATTAAGATACAACTGCGGTCTTGCAGGGGCTTCCTGGGGGCTCAGCAGTAAAAACCTGCCTGCCAGTGCAGGAGAGGCGCAGGGCATGTGGACTGGATCCCTGGGTCAGGAAGACCCCCTGGAGGAGGGCAGGGCAACCCACTCTAGTATTCTTGCCTGGAGAATCCCTTGGAGAGAGGAGCCTGGCTGGCTACAGTCCATGGGTTGCAAAGAATCAGGATACGACCGAGCAACTAAACATGCACGCGCAGTCTAGTATTGACAGAGTGGCCAAGATGCAGAACACTGACAGCTCCAAGTGATGGTGAGTGTGTGGAGCAACAGAAACTCTCATTCAAATGCAGAATGATACAGACGCTTTGGAAGACCATTCGGTGGTTTCTTACAAAACTAAACATCTTCTCACTGTACAACCTAGCAACAGCTGTCCTTGGTATTTACCCAGAGAAGTTGAAAATTTATGTCCATGCAGAAATTCACACATAGATAGCAGCTTTTACAGCAACTTCCTTCCTAATTGCCAAAACTCAGAAGCAACCAACGTGTCTTTTACTAGGTGAGTAGATCAATACGTTACATCTAGACGGTAAAATACTATTCTTTACTAAAAAGTAATGAGCTGTCAAGCTATGAAAAGACATGGAGGAATCTTAAATGATGGACTGGGTGAAAGAAGCCAGGCTGAAAAAAGGCTATTTACTGGATGATCCCAACTCTACGACATTCTGGAAAAGGCAAAACCATGGACACCATAAAAAGATCAGCGATTTCTCCAGGGAGGAGGGGTGATGGGAGTAGGGATGAGCAGGCAGAGCAAAGAGGACTTTTAGGGCAGTGAAATTATTCTATGTGATACTGTAATTGGTAGACACATGTTGTTATACTTTTGTCAAGACCTATACAACACCCAAGAGTGAACCCTAATATAAACTGCGTACTTCAGGTGATAATGGTGTGTCAGTGTAGGTTCACAGGTTTTGACAGATGTACGTCTCTTGTGGGGATGGTGATAATGGAGGAGGTTGTGCTTGTGTAAGGACAGTGGTATATGGGAAACCTCTGTTCTTTCTGCCAGATTTTGTTGTGAACATAAAACTGCTTTAAAGATATACCATCTTTCTAAAATTATTTTTTTAAAAAGAAAAGGAAACCAATATATGATAAGCACTGTAGCATTCTTTCATTCATCTGATAAATATTTTTTGGCTCACTACCATATGACTGGCATCCTTCTAGTGGATTTGATATTCTTATATCTCATGCATATTGGATATAATATTATGTAGTATTTTGTTAACTTTGTTTCAATCATATTAAACCTAGATTCCCTTTAAGATTTGACTTGTGAAAAATTCTGCATAATGATGAAGGGAGGAAGAAGAAAGGGTACATTGGTCTCAAATGATACTGTGTGGACCCAAACCAGGGCCTCACCTGGTTGGTTGATGGGGAGAATTAAAGAAAAATAGATTGCTGGCCATTTACTGAGAAAGGAGATAAAGGTGCCTTTTCAAAGAAGAGACTTTCCCCTGATCATCTTTTGAAAAGAGTTGTACTGTCTTAATGTTTGCAGTGGGTTTATTTGGAGCCTTATGAGAGTTTAAGGTTGGAAACAAGAAGAAACTAGAAAAACTGGATGCCAGGACAAGTGGAGGGGAGGGAGGACCCAGGAGAAAAGCAGAAGGGAAGTGAAGAAGACGGCATGCAGACCTGTCCACCCCACCCAGAGGTCCTGCAGGGAATGAAGGCCCTGCAAGAAAATTGAAAGTCTGCCCCGTGGCTCCTTTTCTGGTCCTGCTGGGAGTGGAGTGCATATGGGGGGGAGACAGAACCAAGTACCATCACATTTCACATGTGTGAACATCAACTCTGACTGATGTTTGGCTTCAGAAAACTGAAGTAGGGCTCTCTCTTATTAGATAATATTCAACCCTGAGAAAAGTTGGTTTTGTTTTTTGTTTTTTTTTTTTAGTGTTAATGATCCAATGACCCTCAAAATAAGAGCAAATGAAAAAGTTTATCATCTTACTTGTGTTGCTCTAAATAGATTAAAATAAAATTGAAGATACCATTATACATTTGGATATATGGCATTAATTAGAGTCACACTGAAAACATCGTTGTCTCATGATACCATTAAGAATTGGTATTGCCCTCACTTTGAATTCATTTTCCCTTTTAAATCTTTGGAATAATATTTTAATAGCTTAATTCATGAAGTTATATGAATGGGAAATAAGGAATCTTAACTATGACATACAGACTAGCTAAGGTAGAGAGAGAGATAGGTTTACTATACTGTTTGCTTTATGCTTAAGCAATCAATGAATTGTATGAATGGCTCTATTATCTCTTTTACAATAGCTTAATCATTATTAAAATAGTTAAACCTAGATAATTTGTAAAGTACACACATTCAAAGACACACATATCAATAAAATGACATTCGTAGTTTAACCTTTTCATACAAATGTGAATAAATGGGTGTTTTAAAGCTCAGATGTATGTATGGGACACAGGTATATAGTGATAGATTTCATCTCTTGAAATCTATAAATATTTATCAGATGAATGGAAAGCCAAGCAGGACCAGGGTAAAACTGTAAGTTGGGAAAAGTTGTTTTTTGAACCTTTCTTAGTTTTTTCTGATTGACCCAGTGATCCTTTTAGCCACTTCTCCCCATGCTGGCACCGCCGCAGACTGTAGGGCACCTCAGGGACATAAATACCTATCTCTGCAACCCTGACCCCTATGCGGCAGAGGCAGGGGGGCGGGGGAGGGTGGCAATTGTGTGGTCGTCTCCTCTGTCCTTGGTCCTGATCTCACTGGCGGTGTAATTCCCACACTTGTGTTTTCTAAATTAGGAACTTTGAGTCCATGGATTCTGGGAGGATTTCAGCTTTCTCTGTTTTCATTTGGATAAATGGATAAAAATAACTCCTCCAGGCATATTCTGAATCATGAGATGGTCCACCTTGTGTGTGAGATGCATGCCTTCATTTTTTGTAAACTGGTTTCAAAAGAGATGCATTGGCCCCTTGGAGACATTCTGAGATGTTCACAAGTTTGTTTTGTTTTGTTTTTTTTCCTTCAAGGAAGAATATTATTCCCTCTTTAAAAGCTGATATCAGCTCACCTGACAAAGAAATGCTGCTGTAACAAGTAATACATGCTCCCCCCGCCATTTATTCAGATACTTATCAAGCTTCTATTATGTGCCTGGCATTGCACTTGGCCTAGGGATGGGGATCTATCAATGAACAAAGCAAAGAGACTTGCCTTCCAAGAATGTACATTCTTGCAGAAGGCAGACAATCACAAGAAACATAATAAAGAAGTTAGGGCCCAGCAGGACTATGAAAGATTCTGTAATAGATTAAGGTGAATAAAGCCTGCTAGGTTAGGGACGTGTGTGGTTCAGATGGAAATTTTAAATAGTGTGGTTGGAGTAGCCTTGTAGACAACGTGGCATTTGAGAAGCTTTGAACGAGTCCCAGGGACCTAGCCCTGTGTCCCTGCTCATCTGTGGGATGAATGAGTTTTTTATAATCAGGAAGCTAAGTAGGAGGAGTTCCATGCTGGTCCAGCGGCTAAGACTCCATGCTTCCACTGCAGGGGACATGAGTTTGCTCGCTGGTCAGGAAACTAAGGCCCCCCCACATGCTGCTTGGTGCAGCCAAAAATTAAAAAAAGAAAGAAAGCCAAATAGGGAAGGTGCCAGATTATATTCATTCATGCCAACTTAGAACTCTTCGACCCCTAAGGGATACTGAAGTTATAAAAGAAAAGAATTTAAGTGAGTTGTATGTATCCTTTTTCCAAATGCAGCAATATTCAAATACAGCTCTGCCAATGAAAACTCCATGAAATGGTCCGTATGTTAACTAGACAGTTTGTTTGCAGTTCAGATTTTAAAACGGGTCTAGAAATTAGACAAGGGGCTTCCCAGGAAGCGATAGTGGTAAAGAACCCGCCTGACAATGCAGGAGACATAAAAGATGTAAGTTCAGGCCCTGGGTTGGGAAGATCCCCTGGAGGAGGGAATGGCAACCGGCTGCAGTATTCTTGCCTGGAGAACCCCATGGACAGAGGAGCCTGGCTGGCTGAAGTCTATGGGGTCGCAAAGAGTTGGACATGACTCAGCCACTTAGAGACTTAGCAGCAACAGCCAAGAGAAGACCCGTCTAGGAACATATTGCAAAGTTTTTTCTTCATTTACTCATTAAAACATTTTCTTTGATTAGAAAACCACCCAGATTAGATGTTTTATTATTATTATTATTATTATTATTATTAGTCAAATGCCTAAGTTTAGCAGAACATACTTTGGTCCTAGTGTGTAGACCAAGTGTCATTGTGAGTGGCATCCTTATTTTCCAGGTCTTCTCAGATGAATAGCCTTGTATGACTTCTGCCTTCTCATTTGGCTTCTGGTTCCTTGGAAATGTTGGGAGCATCTCCCTGTTCCACATAATTTTCACATTGTATACATCAGTCCTGCAGCCCTTTAAGACAGTGGTTACGTTTCATCAGTCTTAGGAGTGAGATCCTTTTGCCCGTCTGTCTGCTTCATGCCCTGAGTATGTAGCATATTTTTATAGAGAGAATACCCATTAGGAGGTTAAAATAATCTTTTCAAAATTCTACGACTTGAAATGCATTTGAATTTTTATCAGAAGGGTATGAAAATAAGTAAAAGCAATAGAATCTAAAGAGAAGAATAATCTGTTTTCTTTTCACTTTGCAAAAGGCCTTCTGTTCAGTGCAGTGAATTGTAGCAATGACCTCATATGAAAAACCCATGGGGTTTAAGTAGTAAAACCTTCCTCTCTCCTTCGCTTCTCCAGATAAGGAGACAAGGGGGCATCCAGCTCCTGGTGGACTTGCTGGACCATCGGATGACTGAAGTCCACCGTAGTGCCTGTGGCGCCTTGAGAAACCTGGTGTACGGGAAGGCCAATGATGACAACAAAATCGCCCTGAAGAACTGTGGTGGGATTCCAGCCCTGGTGAGGCTGCTCCGCAAGACTACCGACTTGGAGATCCGGGAGCTGGTCACAGGTCAGAATTCTTAGTAACAGCATGGCTGACGCTCACGATGAATTTCCCATCATCCTGCATGGTAGCCAAGTGTTATGGTCCCAGCCTGTCCAAGGGCTAATCACACCAGCCATCCTGGGAATAAATATTTGCATGTTTGCAAATAACAGACTTAAGTAAAAGGGTATCAGATGTCATGCTGGTAGATGCGTCATGTTAAATAATTAGCACCCAATAAACATGACCCTCCTAAGATTTTTTGACTGCCTTTCAGTCTTTGTCACTTGGTTAAGTATTGACATCTTAACATACCCCTGAATCATCATTAGAATGACATTAATCATAAGTGGTGAAAGGCCAAGGCATTGAGTTATTGGTAATAAGGTAGATAATACTGTGCTTAGCAGCAGAAAGCTTATTGTCCTTAGCAGTTAATTTCTTGAATAAAATATTGATGCTTAGTAAAAGCCCCAATTTATATAATATTACAGGTTAAGCAGTTTTCTTTCTAAAGTGATCATGAGAAAAAGCCTTATCCATGAGCATAGGACTTTTGAGTTTCAAGAAATGAACACAATTATGATAACTATACTACCTCATAAAGCCATGGGATTAATCCATGAGATTATGTAAAGCCTTTAACACATACCTTCATGGAATATATATGGACATAGGAAACATTAGTCGTTTACTATTGCCTCTCACTTTTAAATGTGAAGTTTTACTTGTTGAGGGGACTAAGGATATTGGTGACCTCAGTATGGAATTTCACATCATTCTTCTCATTATACTGGGTTGGCCAAAAAAGTTCTTCCAGGTTTTTATATATTGAGTTTTATGTATATTCTGTAAGATGTTACAGAAAAACTTGAACAAACTTTTTGGCCTACCTGGTATATAGTATATATAGGTTATGTATGCAGTATGTGTACTGCTATTGCTGTTCTTTGGGATATTTCACTTTTGCTTCATGTTTCGTTTCCTTTTCTTTGGATTGTTCTTTATCTAAGTGGTAGATTGTCTTTGTGGGGGAAAAAAAGTGTTGTGAAGGGTTGTCATGTTATAATAGTAGTGTTTCACACTGAGCTAACATGGGGTGACATGGTTGGGGAAGGACAAACTCCTGTTACACATATTATGCACACATTTTTACTTCTTCAAGCAGGTATTTGTCAGGTGGATTGCAAGATTGATTCTCAAAAAAGGATCTTTTAAGTACCCACAGTTTCACTGACCTTCTGTCTTGATGCTAAAATTTTCCTGAAACTATGCTCATAAGCATATGTGCACTTGTTCATTTAAGAAAATACATTACCAAAGCTAGACTCATAAATGTTTGTTCATTCTTGGGTCAAGACTCCCAGCTTCAGCATATTGTCTTTAACTTAGCACCCTTTAACATCATGGGCACATCTACTTTATGTTCTCAGTTAAATTGGAACTAGACTGTCATATTTTTTTCCTTGTTTTTTCTTTCCCTTTTCTTTTGTCTTTCTCTAAGTGGAAGATTGTCCTTGTGGGGGGAAAAAATGTTGTGAAGGGCTGTTGTGTTATGATAGTACCCTTTCACACTGAACTAACATGGGGTCACGTGATCAGGAAAGGACAAACTCCTGTTGCACATATTATGATGTGTACGATAGTTTGGGGTGGGTTAAAAACTAAAAATACAACCATTATAGTTATTAACACTTGGATTTGTTTTCTTTAAAAAAGAAATTTACTTATTTGACTATGTCAAGTCTTTGCTGTAGCCTGGGTATCTTTAGCTGCAGCATGTGGGATCCAGTTCTCTGACGACAGATTGAACTTGCATCCCCTGCATTGGGAGGGCAGAGTCTTAGCCACTGGACCACCAGGGAAGTCCCACGTGCCCTTATTGTCATGAATTGTGTTTCAGCTGGAAATGCCTGTAAGAGAAAGAACTCAATGTGGATGCCTCTGTGCCTTAAGACCAAGCTAATGGATTTATGTTGCTGCTAAGTTGCTTCAGTCCTGTCCAACTCTTTGTGACCCCATGGACTGTAGCCCGCCAGGCTCCTCTGTCCATGGGATTCTCCAGGCAAGAATACTGGAGTGGGTTGCCATGCCCCCCTCCAGGGGATCTTCCTGACCCAAGGATAGAACTTGTGTCTCTTACATCTCCTGGACTGGCAGGCAGGTTCTTTACCACTAGCACCACCTGGGAAGCCCAGTGGATGTATGAGGCCAACGCAACCAAAGGAGCACCCTCCTGCGTACCTGCGCTTTCAGTTCATGATTTGGAAAGAGTTGGATTTAACTAAAATTTGAATTTGCTCCAACACAAATCCCTTATCTAGAAGCACTCTCTGTGATGGCTTTGCTCATTGCCAAAGAAACTCAGCTCCATGGAGAAGGGTGAAGTGACTGATGGCTTCAATCAGAAAGGATACGCAGCCGTGTGCGGTCCCATGAGACCGTCCACCACAGCACGCCCTGTGCTCCTTGGGATGCTTGAAGCCGCCATGCAGGACATGACGGCTGGCTACTCCTGAGTCCAGCACTGCTTCTGAAGATGCTGGATGTCACCCATTGTGTGCCCCTAAGCAACATCCAGAGTTGCTATGTGAGCTCCATTTGTAAACATCAAGGCAGAAAAATTCTTCAGAATGCCAGCACGTTTCCCCTCCTGGTGAAGTTTTGGCTGTAAGAAAGATGGTGCGTGTGTTACACAGAGAGAACAGATGCCCTATTCTGCCCCTTTTTGAGAAGAACAGGAGTTTGCACCCACTGTCATACCATAACCCACTGTTTCTTCAGCAGCATGAGCTGGTGGCCCAGACTGTCTCCTGGAAGAAGTGCTGTCTTCTGCCATGACACTGTCCAAGCATTAGAGCCAAATGGATTCAGGATGGCAGTGGTTGCTTCTAGAATAGATGTTCTCTGTCTTCCCAGAGGCGAGCTTCCCAGGTGGTGCTGGTGTTAAAGAACCCGGCTGCCAGTGCAGGAGACATAAGAGACGCATGTTTGATCCCTGGTCAGGAAGATCCCTTGGAAAAGGGAAGGCAACCCACTCCAGTATTCTTGTCTGGAGAATCCCATGGACAGAGGAACCTCACAGGCTACATAACAGTCATGGGGTCGCACAGAGTTGGACACAACTGAAGTGACTTAGCACGCACTCACATCTTTCCAGAGTCAAGGCCTTATTGTACCTGGCTGAACTTCAGGCTTGAGTTTCACTGTCTTCAAAGAAAAATATGTTGTTGAAATATTTAGACTTGCTGAAGCTCCTGGTTTCTGGAGTTGCTATGGTGGTTACTACTGAAAAACAAGAAGCACTTGGCCAAGTTACCACTTGAGAGAAACATCTAGGAGAGCACCCCACGTGGAAGGAATTGCCACCGCACCCAGTCTGTGGTGACAGAGCCTTCTAAATGTCCACGCTGGCAGACACCTGAGGGCGCCTGCAGGCCTGCAAGACTCCTTGAGCTCCGTTTAGACAGAGCATCCAGATGCAGATCAGGCCGAAGCGAACTTCACTGCCTGAAGCAAAATCAAATAAGGCAAATAAATTCCGCTCCAAGAGGCTTAGAGACTCACGTTCCTCTTCAGCACCAGCCACGGTCAGTTGCCAAAGTGAGCTATGAAAGCTAGGGTTCTGTCTGCTCCTGCAGAGCTCTGCAAATCCGGGATTTTAGTAGGCCTCCTGCAGAGAGCTGACTCATTGGAAAAGACCCTGATGCTGGGAAAGATTGAGGGCAGGAGGAGAAGGGAGGGACAGAGGATGAGATGGTTGAATGGCATCACTGACGCTATAGACATGCATTTGAGCAAACCCTGGGAGATAGTGAAGGACAGGGAAGCCTGGCGTGCTGCAGTCCGTGGGGTTGCAAAGAGTCGGACACGACTTAGTGACTGAACAACAACAACCCAGTTTAACTTCAGGGTCATCCAACCCTCGTTTCTCTTATGTGTTATTCTGCCTTCTNGACTCCGGGAGGTGGTGATGGACAGGGAGGCCTGCCGTGCTGTGGTTCATGGGGTCGCAAAGAGTCAGACACGACTGAGTGACTGAACTGACTGACTGGTTCTCCAAAGAGCTCAGAAGATACTGTTCTGTGCATCCCTTGAGGTGGAAGGAGGACCCTGCCCCAAGGCTGCACTATTCTTTCTTGGCTTCCCCTCTCTTATCTCTGATCCCCTCCCTTCCCTGATTAGCAATTGTTTGAGTCTGCCCTTGGAGACTCAGGAAGGTCATGGAGGCTGGAGTCTGTTTCCTACAAACAAGGAATGCCAGACACAGAAAGGCATCTGTGCCCAAAAGCCCCACAGGGTCCTGTTCAGTGTCCATCTTTGCCCAAGTTTGATGAGCTTTTTACTCCAATAAGCTTTTCTGGGTGAGTCCAGGCCCTTCACTCACTCCTTAGTCACTCATTTCTCAAATGCATTTGGATTTCTGCGGGTGTTGGGTGTGTGCTAAGCCTTGGATATCTGCACACACAGGCTTGGCAGTCAGCGGACCCACCACGCCCAGCTTCTGCTGGTGGCCTCTGTGATGGTTGGGGGCCCTGTTGTCAATTGTGACACTCTGGCATCGCTGGCTGCTGACTCTAAAAGAGATGTCCCTGGCGAATGTGTTGATGTTTTAGAAACTTAACTAGACAAGCAGAAAAAATAATGACGGCTGGAAGAGTGGAGTAGAGAGTAATAAGTGAAAAGGATCATTTCATTTCCATTGTCACAAGGACCCTTCACAAAACCTTTTTGGAATGAGGTTAGATACTTGTGTGTGTGTGTGTGTGTGTGTCCATGTGTCCTCAGTCGTGCCCAACTCTTTGTGACCCCAACTGGACTGTAACCCTCCAGGCTCCTCAGTCCATGAACTTTTTTAGGGAAAAATACTGGAGTGGATTGCCATTTCCTCTTCCAGGAGATCTTTCCGACCCAGGGATTGAACCCATGTCTCTTACACCTTCTGCTTTAGCTGGCAGATTCTTTACCACCGAGCTGCCTGGGAACCCCCTGGACACTCATGCATGAATCAAAAAAAAAACCCT